TAAAACAGAGGTCTCCAACCTTGGCAACTTTAAGACTTGTGGACTTCAACTCCCAGTTTCTCTCAGCTTCTGGGTGAGGAACTCTGAGAGTTGAAGTCCACAAGTCTTAAAGTGGCCAAGGTTGGAGACCCCTGCTATAAAACCCATTCGGTCTGAACACCATAGCTAGACTAAGAGTATGTTAATATCTGTCTGGGATGTGGCTCAGGTCCCAAAGACTGTGCTCTAACATTCTACCTGATGTATAGACTTGGGCCCTTTAGAATTTTCTAGCCGGGTGGAACTTTACTGAGAACTCTGAGAGTTGAAGGCAACATATCTGAAGAGTGATCAAGCTGGGAAAAGCTGCACTATATTGTAGCACTGTGGCAATTTTATCCTGATTCTTTCCACTTCTCTTTTTCAAAAACCCTGATGACGTATGCATATATGTTTTGCTTCAGGGAGAGAATCTGAATGCTGGTCGAATTGGTCTCACCATTATAGTGGCTGGCATGTTTGGAGCATTGATTTCTGGCATCTGGTTGGACAGGACCAAAACATATAAGTAAGTGCTTTGTTGTACCTCTTTCCTCTCTCTGCTTCTTTGAAGAAGAGGTAGGCTTTTTCAGTGAGTAGATCAGGGTATAGTGAAGGAGTCAGCAACATTTTTTGTTCTGGGGCTACGCTTTAATTTTTTGCCACTCAGTTTGGGGGCTGTAGGAGATGAGGATATTGATATAGTGGTATTACCAGAGTGAGTGGAGCCCAAATTTTCAAAGAATTAGGAATAAGGAATTAAATAAAATGGGTACCTAAAATCTTGGCTTAAGACACAATTTTTTTCATTCAAAATCCTTACCAATGAAGGATATGATTAACTTTAGAATTAAAAAATGTTATTTTCTCTACAAAGTTTAGAGCAGTTGTTTTTACATCATCTTTAAACAAGTAATTATATAATGTATATACTGTATAATAACTATGTATATAAAATCTTTAAACAAGTAACAATTTCATCTTTTTCTTCTTCTACATAATACCTTGTCATTTGCTCTAAAGATGCAAAGAAAAAAAATTGTCCAATATGTTAAATTTTTTAAACCATCATCATTCAAACTTAATTGAGAAAAATTGCATCAGGAGCTGGCAGAAACAACAATATATTTAAAAAGATAATCTTTAATCCTTTTACATGATATCTCACAAATTAATTTCTAGTCTTCATCTGCTCTCAATTTTAATACCATACTTTATCACTTTCTATAAAATTGCAACAAAACTTCTTCCCATATCTTTATAAAAAATCTTTAATGCTTCATGATTGAATTCTACCAAGAAAAATCCATTAAAGCTTTCAGGAATAAAAATCACATATATTTTATCCATGTTTGAATTAGCCAAGTTTGTAAACCTTTGTTTTACTTTTAAAAGTCCTAATATTTATTCCTTTTATCTAATGTCCCAAAAGCTGATTTATTTTCTTTCCCTCTTAATCTTTTCTCAAGAATTCCTTCATAACACATCTCTTTTGTAAATACAGCATAAGAAAACTGTTACTTTTTTGAGCTAAAATCCACATATCCAAGATGCTTTTCTGATTTATTATTTGTGTCAGCTGGTTTCATTTGTAGCTCCTGTATTATGTCCTTAACAGTATCATTCTTGTATTCTGTTAATTTTGAATCCATATTCAAAACGCCCTGAGTTTTAGTTATACCCTTTTCTCTCACTTTATTTTAAGCCGATTTTAGTACATCAGACAGTCTAAAGTGAAAGTTCTAGGTACATTGTTGTCAAATATACTTGCATTCTGAAACAGTTAAAATAATGTTTCCATTCAGTATTAACAAACCTTTTCCTTTAATTATAATATTTACTTCTTTCTGACTGGCTCTAGTAACCAGCTTTCAAATTCTCCTCTTATGTTCTTCCCAGCCTTTTTGGAACCAGGGACTGATTCTGTGGAAGATAATTTTTCCACATACCGGGAAGGGATTATCCTGCATACAGCCTAGAACCTGTGCATGCACAGATGAAATTTCTCTCATTCAGCTGCCACTTGCGCGGCCTAGTTTCTAACAGGCCATGGACTGGTACCAGTCTGCAGCCTGGGGGTTGGGAAGCCCTGATCTGGCACATTCCAGGCAGACAGTTTTTACATTTAAACTCAAAATCTTAACATTGTTAATAAGTATTTAAAAACCTGTATGTTTTAAATTTACATAAAGCTTGTTTTGCTGCAGGTTGAAGGAAAATCACAATATAATGAAATGTTCTGAAGGTTCTTAATATACAAACCCCAGTTTTTCCCACAGCTAAAAGTGAAATCCTCAGTCTGTCATTGCTTCCCCAGAAATCTGAGAAGAACTTTAATAATTGAACTATGTATGCTTCCGGCCTAATGTGCCTGTTTATTTGACCCTATAAATTGTGTACTTACCCTTAAATGAAAATTTGTTCCAAAATCGGCCGAAAGCAGATTTCTGATTACTATGTGGACAAATCCTTGATGTTTTATTTTCCTTAATATGCAAGCGCTTTATTACTGCATTCTCTCTGGGACATTTTTTCAACTTCAAGTTTACAATCTAGAATTTCTCAGTGGATTCCCATTGAAATATATGTTTTGCTTCTTTGAGATAAGGCTAGGTCACCCACTGTGATGTAACGTTTAACATCTCTAAAAGTTAACTCAACTGATTAATATCAACAAGAATGCAACTACAGTGAGATAACTGCAAGAGAATAGGAAATATTGTTTTGTTGAAGAGAATCCTGAAGTTTACAGAAATATAAGAAATTTAAGGAAAGAAAAAGAAATGGGACAAAACTTGCTTTCCTCAATGCCTCAGTAGGCATACTCTGGGCAAAGACAACATTTTGGGATTGTTGGAAACATTGAGTTATTACAAAAAGACTATTCTGGAAAGACTTACTGAGATCAGTCAACTGACAAGATGCATGTAAAAAGTCCCATTTTTCAAATGCCAGAGTTGTGAGGGTATTGTTAGCCTTTCAGCTTTTCATTTTGTCTGGATATATGTGCATACAAAACATACAAAATGGTTTAATCCGTCCATCATTTTATTTACTAAGAATGCCTGTTGAAACTATGTCCACAGAATTCTTGTAAATAAAAATAATGCTAGTTGCTGCTGTTTTGCTTTATAGCATGTCAGCTTCCTGATTATTCAGAATTTAATGCAAAGACTACAAAAACAAGGCCAGGTAGAACAAGGAACATGGTGAAAGTTCACCTTCTGATACAATACTATATTTGTAAAGAATGAAGAAATTTTCCAGCACTATTAAGTCTAATTTGATTTCTCTATTTAATTTTAGTCAGGTTAGACTTTCAATAAATGATAATAGAAAATAGATAAAAAGCGGTCCAGAGTTAATGACTGGGATGACACATAAATCTTTCAAAATGTATGTATATATTTGTGTTTATTGCAAGTTGGAACAACGAATTCATTGTTCTGGAGTTGGGGGTGATAAATTTGAATAAATACATTCTGAAAATGCTTTTGTTTGTTATAGACAGACAACTCTGGTTGTTTACATCATGTCATTTGTGGGTCTGGTTGTTTATACGTTTACCCTGGATCTAGGTCATATCTGGGTGGTCTTTATAACAGCTGGCGTACTCGGGTAAGTTCACATCTCCCTTTGGGTTACTTTTCTCTGTGAAAGTGTTTTGCTACTTTCTGTGCCCCTAAGATAGTCTCCACTTGCTCTGCAGTGTGTAAGAAAGAAAGCGAAGCTACCAATAACCCTCTTCTCCCAAGGAGAACAATGAGATGTACATGGTAGCCATTGCAGGTTTTCTTGTTTCTGTTAAATGAGGATTCTAGAATGACCCTTCCCATGACCCTTCCCATGTATTGGGAAGCAAGTGGATTTAGGCTTTTGAGATCTAAGAAAAATGAACTTGGAGTAGCATCATCTCTTTAAAACACCCAGGGCATGACATTACATAAGTGCTGAAGCTGAAGTGTTTCCTATATCTATTCTGACAGCTTTTTCATGACGGGTTACCTACCTCTGGGCTTTGAATTTGCAGCAGAGTTAACATATCCAGAATCTGAAGGAACATCGTCAGGCCTTCTTAATGTTTCCGCACAGGTTAGTTTGAGAAATGTAGCAAAGAGACATTTCTAGGTCCAGCTTTGCTGTTCTGCAGGAATATAGCACCACCTGTTGATAAATCAAAATGTTCCATCATGTTCTGTTACACAGCATAGTCTCTCTAAAATTGACTACTATTGCTTTCCAAAGAAGTTTGAAGATGACAAAAATTATACTTCTCTTTTACAGTAATATAATTAAATACATCTGATGCATTTTACTAAATATAATTCTATAAGTTGTCAAAATATGAAATGTTCTAATAATTCTGACCTCATTTATAGTCAGACACTAGAAGTCATGTGGGGTGAGATAGTGAGTTGATAGTGTTTTTTATTACTGTTGAGAACATCAGAAATAGGCAAAAGATTTTAGAACTGGTGAACAACTGTATCTTGTTCAATTCTTCTTTAATATCTCTGTTATCTTGTGCTAGGTTTTTGGAATAATTTTCACCATTAGCCAAGGACAGATCATTGATAACTTTGGGACTAAAGCTGGGAACATCTTCCTTTGCGTCTTCCTGTTCATTGGTGCTATTATCACTGGTAACTACACTCTTCAAATGTTTTCTTACTTGTTTCTGCAGGATATGTGGATCATTTTTGCCTATAAACTGAACATGGTCAGCAACTACCTTAATAGTGAACTGTTAGTGTCTCTAGAAGAAATAGGCCTCTGCCAAAATTTGTCTGGTTTACAATTAGAAGTCAGGAATAAAGTTGATATCCCTTCTGTCATTGCTTAATTGAAGACATGGATCTGTTAAAACCTGTTGCCCACAAGGGTTCTAATTGAAATCCCTTTCTGAAGAAATCACCAGCCAAAAGGCTAAATAGAGTGTGTTGTAATGCTTTATCCACTCATGGTCATATAAGGGCTTTTGAGGATTAAAAGAATTCCTGTTTAAGAAGGGATTGCTGGAGGAGATTTGGCAACTGTCCTCTACTTTGGTCACTGTCGCATTAAATTACAGTAATACACTCTATTTGAAATTGCCCTTGAAGAGTAGATGGAAACTCAAAGTGTTGTAAAATATAGCTGATAGAGTAGCTTTTTGGGCAAGCTAGTGCAAATTTAGAGCATATTATAACTTTTGCAAAATTTCCACTTTTTTCGTAACCACAATTCAAAGTGCTAGTATACTATGGACAAATCCTTTAAGTAATATGTGTAAAGGCTATATGTTCACCTCCTCCTGTTTGAACTTACACCTGTGCCCTTTTGTGGTGCAATTAGAGTAAAAAAAATGATATTTTGGTTGTGGCAGCCATATTCTCAAACCTGTCCAGGAATGGAGTCACTATGTGACTAGCAATTCTGCTTCTTCTCTGAAGCACACTGATCCAACTGCTAGAGGAGTGATCTGTAATTTTCTATAAGTCATTCCTCTGAACCAGAAGTGGTTCAGATATTAGACTGCATGTTCCCTAGTTAGCACCCAATATGTTTACACTTGTTGTTTTCTATTTTTTAGTCTCCAACAGCAGGGTATTTGTAATTGACTTAAATGCCTTTTTTATATTTTTATTTTGATTCATCGTTTTGTGTTACCTGCATATTCTTAGGGGTCAAAATTAGAACTTTTGTAAAGAAGTTAGAATCATTATTTATTTCTCCATCATGATGATCAGTATGAATTATTTTGTTCTACATACTTCCTTAGAGTCCTATGCATCTATTCTGTGTCCTACCTATTGAGTTATTAAGTTCGAATTGCCTTTTTATTATGCTTTAGCTTTCATCAAACCTGATCTCCGAAGACAACAGGCCAATCTGGATAATGAACAGGCTGTGAGTAAAATAAAATATAACCTGTAATTTATGACCACTATCTCCAGTTATATTGCTGTTTTCACAATGAGTAATTAGGATATCTCAGGAGTATAGGAAGTATACTGCTTGAGGAAGTATCTCAGATGGCTTGAATGTGACAGGTACGTCTTCTGAAATTGAGTGGGGCTCAGTTTTCTTTAAGATCATAGCCTGTGTTCATTTTTCCTACTGTCCAGCTACAAGGCCCAAGCAAAATGCAGATAATTTTTCAGTATAAGGGTATGCATGCATCCATAGTATAGTGATACATATTTCATGTAACAAATAAATGAAACATATATGTAAAAAGGATGGTCAAGTGGTAGACTGAGAAAGTTGCATTGGAAGGAATTCATAAGATTCTCAGAAAAAGGGGACATTTTTAGAGGAAAACATGTATAAAGCTGTTATGGATGTAATGAGGTAAGAATGGTGCGCACAGATAGAGAATATGAACAAGTATAGTGAATTATATTGGTATACTTTAGATTTAGCTTTATTGCCTTTTATTTTTATTTTTCATGCTTTAATTTTTTTGGCTTAATATTTCTTATTCCTTTTTGCACTTTACATAATATTGCTATTCCAAAAGGAAATAATGCAATGGCGCACGCACACACACAGAGCTCTCTTTTTATAGAAGTATAGTCCTAAATTAAATAAGAATTACCCCAGATTTTAATGGACATAAGGATACACTTGAGAAAAAGCAAAAAAGAGGAAGGGACTGGCTGGAAGGACTATAAAAACTAGAAAGCAAGTAATAAATATTCAAATAAATGATGGCAGATTAATGTGGAGAAAAGGATGGAGAAAAGAAAGGCATAAATTGGCCAAAGCCTCTGTCGCCAGGCTATGAAATGTGACTGTTAAATTCACAACTTCAGCGACTGAAGCATGCTTGGATTTTTCAATCATAATAGTCCGTAAGAAAAACATCTATAGCCCACATTTCTTACAGCAATAGTTGCCCTGCTGTCTCTGCGAAGATATTGATTCATTATTCGTGAAGTCATGGTATTAATCATGGCTCGTTATATATTGCTTTCTTTCCTTCCTCACAAGAAAAGTAATATCTTTGAGAGTAAAAGACTTTTGGATAAATAAATCATTACTAATTTTGCTGACTTTTGGAAAAAAAAGTTAAAGGCAAAGTCTCTCCAAAGTCGATGAAATTGTCCCCAGAACACCATTATCATACTACAATTGACCAGCTTATTTTGCAGCTGTGGTATAAGTGCTTCTATCCATGCCCATTCAAATCTCTGCTTTTTTATTACACCTGTTCAGATTGAGGATAATGTGTGTGGACATATAGCTCTCATTCTGAATTTGCTTTGTTTACCTTAAGTGATATTATTACAGCATTGTTCACTTCATGCGATGTTATCACAGTTTGGTTAGCATGGAATGGTAACACACTGGCCATGTCAGCATAACAAGAGGAATTAGTATTTTGAATGAAAAGCTAAAGCTAGATAATATTGGAGCAAGAGTTGCTTTAGTTTCATTGCAATACAGATTGGGAATTGTTGGAGGCTAATCTCTTCCAACTTAGTCATATTTGACATGGGAGAGGGAGCAAACATGGATTCTTAATTATTTTCTCCAAATTAATGTATTTAACAAAAAGGTCAGAAAACAGTATTTCTTAATTTCTCTGGTGGTAGTCAGGGCACTACAGAAAATAGCCATGTTCCATGATAGAGGCATAAGTGAATGTGTGCTGTTGGGCTTTGAGAAGGCTTATTCTAGGCAAGGTCAATCATGTTGTGCACATAGCTCTTACCTAGGTTTAGGATATTTCAAAAGCGATGATGGAAAATGTAAATGTAAGAATAATGGGGGAGACAGGTTATACAAATCACATGAAAAAGTGAAAAACACGTGTGCTTTGTAGAGGATCTGTTTTGTTCAATTTGAAAATTTAATTTTCACATTGGAGGTTCAATATATGAACATTTAGCATAGTTCTGGAGAGAATTAAATATCTCTATATGAGATGCTTCTCATATGGGGAGGCATCCCAGAGTCAAAGGTTGCTGCTGCCTTGGAAAAAGTAGGCTTGGAAAGCCAAACATCATACTGTATAGTGTTTTTGATGATCCATCCCGAAGCTGAGGTGCTCTTTAATTCCATTTTTATCTGCTTATGAAAGGATAGCTGGTGAAACACCATCTTTTTGTTCCATTCTACCCTTCATGGGATTGTGACGTTTGGCTGTTTTGCAGAGACTCCAAAGCAGTAACATTCAGATAATGAATTATGGATTTTGTACCTTATCCCCATCATTTCCCATCCTTGCTCAGTAATTGACAAACCAAAGGTAGGAGAATCATATTAACCTACTTAATCAACTGCTTGTGTGAGGCTGCAGTAGTACCAACCCAGTGACACATGCTAGAACTATTATGGGAAAACTGTACTAAAACTGTAATACTGAAGATACATTCTGTGAAAAATTATCCTAACTGTTCACCAGAACTGGTAGGATAAACATTGTGGGGTTTTTAAAAATGTTTTTAAAGTTTTTATCCACATCTAAATATTTTTTAGATTATTATGTGCTTTTAATTCTTTTGTATGTTACCCAGAGTCATCCATTCTGTAAAGGCGGGTGACTATATAAATTTGCTAAATTCAGTAAATTAATGAACAAATAGCAGGAAAAAAAGGGTATGGATTTATATCCTAAAACAATTTTTTCCTCAGATTTTTTTTCTGGAGTTAACTTTTTTTCATTTACAGTATATTAAAATTTCATTTTGATTACATCTACCTTAAAAATTCATTATCTGTACATACTGTTTGCAAAAATGTAGAGCCACTGTAAATCTCATGATTCTTGAAGCACTGAAGTATATTTAAAAGATAAAAGTTGTTTTAACTTTATAGATGCCTTTTCATCCTAATTTCACCAGCAAATTTCAGGAAAGCCTTCAGCTAATGGATATTCAATGCAAATGAGATTCATTCAAAATGAGACCTTAGGAATGGATTTGGCTCCTAATGTAGTTTTAAACAAAGACTACAGTCTATGTAGTCTTTCTGTCTAGGAAGGAAATATTAAATCTTTCATATAAATCAGCCCCTGGACTGGTGTTTTTTTAAACTGCTGCAGCTCACAAAGCATTTTAATTCTTTCCTAAAAGAGATCTTCCTTACTCTGCTTAATACTGCATTTTGGACTTTTTGTGCTCTGGGCATGCTTAATTTGGTTAAACTGGATATTTCTTTTTCATAATTTGCTTTCCCTGGTCCATATTTGTATTCATTTTTCTTGCTCAAGTAGCAGTTCTCTACAGTAAGGGGGGGGGGATTAAGATGTAAGCAATTGCTAATATTGGATTGAATTTCGAAGTAGTTAGCCATAAGGTGGGGCTGGTGATAGAGAATGCTAGCTTTATTTCTGCTTTCAAGTTCATTTTTGATTGGTGAATAGTCGAAACTTAAACTCTCATATATCGTCAAGGTTGTATTTCTTCTTTTGTGGAAGATGAACAGTGAAATTGAGGACATGTGTCATCAGCATTATTTTTAGTGCTGTTTTTTTAAAAAACAAAATAAAGCTTATAAATATGGCTACTGTCTCAGGGTGCAATGCTCACTTAAAGTGAAAATGTAAAGCTTTTTAAAAATAAAATTTTGGCTTAATATTCTCCTAGAGTTCTAGTTGTAGATAATATTTTCTGTTTTGAAAATGAACTTTTTTGTAAAGTAATAAAGCTATTTTATTTTTCCTGCCTTAAAGCTTGATTTTCCATAGGGAGGGCCAGAAAAGAATCTCTTTATGTATTTGTTCCTAGGAATAGTAAGATATTGTCTAAATAATAATGTATGCCAGCACCATAGGTCAGTGGCTTAATGATTTCTATTTTTCATGAATAAAAGTGAATATTATTAGACTGTTTTTTGATCTCAAACATTCAGAGAGACTGGGATATACTGTACCTACTCAGCAAAATATGTCACATTAAATTATAATAGAAGCAAAGAGTATCAATGTGGCTTAGGGTTGTCTTAACGCATAGGCTTGATGGGCACTTGCCCGGCCCCACGAGTATAGGGGCCCCATACTAATCTGTGTATGTTAACTCTTCAATGCACTTTGTGTCATATAAATACAGCAACATACTTATTACATTTTACTGCCTTTTTAAATCAATCTGTTTTATTAAATAACACCAATTTTGTTGGAAGTGCCAATAAAATAAATATATGTTTAATTTTATCAACCATTTACATTTTTATTCCTGTGAGCAGTTGTCATAGGGGCCCTAGTACACTGCTTTGCCCGGGGCCCATAATGCTGTTAAGATGACCCTGATGTGGTTTTAAACTCACATCAAGTTAGCAAAATTGCAGCAATGTACTGAGCTAGAGGTTAAGCCAGAAAGTGGTGGCATTTTAAGTTTGAAGTTTTTAAGATGGTAGGAGTTTTTCTGCAGCTATTCAAGCCAAGCTGCCAAATTCCACCCTTTGTGTGATAGAGAAATGCAGTTATATTGTCCCAATTTGTGAGACATGGGGGATATGTACTTTGGGTTTCTGCTTAATTAAACGTGAGTTGCTCTTCTCTCTATAAATCTCACCAAGCATTTTGCATTTCTTTAACTAGAGATGACAGGCAGCAAAATAGCCTTCTTATTTGAGAGAATAAGATTTTTTCATGACTGAGGGAGAGTGGGAGGCCATATAAATGTTCTTAAATAACTAAATACTTTAGAGGAATTATTAAATCTACCGCATATGGGAAATGGTATGATAGCTTTAATTCAACATGCCAACGAATTTCTTGTTTGCTACACCCTCTGATTCCTCTAATTGTGTATTTTCTTTGGTTCCAGAAATCAGTGGGAGTTGCCTCAGACCAACACTGCACTGCTGTTTGAAGAATCAAATAATTTAAGGCTATAAGTGGCTGAAAAGTTATTGCTATTCCTGCTTCTACTGCCTTATGTTCGTCTCTCTACCATCTAGACTTCCATTACACATGGTTTGACCAGGAAACAGTCTACATAATAATGTTCCTAATGAAAAATACAAGATTTTAAATTATTCTCAACTGATGAAGCTTTTTGCCCTGTTTAGTGGAAGAAAATGAAAGAGAGCAGTTGACTTGCCTTGGCACTTATAAACTGCACGACTTGATTGGGTGTTGCTTCTATCATATTCAGTGTGAAATAAGAATGCCCATCTGTTCATCCTTTTGTGTGGCCTGTAGACTTGCAGATTTGGGTGTGAAGTGGATCTAAAGGAAGATTCTTGCTCCTTAGGGAGAACCAGAAACACTTGCTCTGTGAGCAGTCCTAATGGAAGGGCAACCATTGATTTGTGAATGGGGAAATTCATTATCAATCAAAACAAAAGCAAGGATGACTTAGCTTCTTTTTCTACAAAGTATCTATTTGTATTGTAGACTATTTTTGTGACCCCAGTCCAACAGATATTTTTTAATTAATTGATCAGTATTTTAAAATGGAGATTATGTTTTTTTAAAAACAAGGTGGCATTTTAGAAATATTTTTGGGTAACTGATTTCTAATCCATATTTGAGAAATACATTGTATTTTTTACCACAACATTATTGCTCTTCAGCAATGTGACACTGCAAGGCCACAAGCTGCAGAAGCAGAAATTAAACAAGGGCTCCAAATGGCTTTCATAACAGTCTTCCATAGTATTTTTCTCATAACCTCTAAAACTCTAAACGTTTTCTCTCAAGATTGTACTAGATAATGTAGTGTTAATTGAACATTAACCACTGTAGTCAGCTTTGAAGGGTGGAGAAGTGTAATCAGTGGCTTATTTTTTTTTATATTGCTACATTTCCCTTTCAAGGAAAGAGGAACTAAGTTAATTAAATTGTAGATGACCGAGTGTCTTTATTATGTGGATTGGAACAATAGATGCTTTAAGGAAAAACTTTAAATAGCCTGTAAAGGAATACAATGAAGTTTTTCCAATCTACTCTAAACAGGATGACATGACTATTTTATTTTATTGCAAGGGGAGGGGAGGGGGGAATCCACAAATCGATTAAAAATCATGGAGGACCGTACAATGCAACATCTTAGTTTTAGGTAACTTCAATTAAAATTCATCACTGGACCAAGTGAGAAAACAATGCTGCATAATTTTGTGGGAAAATTTTTGTAACTTTGAAATGGCTGACTGAGTTAGCCTAACAGCTATTCTTATTCCAAAGACTGAACAATTTTTAAAGAATTCCTAGCTTAAGGTGCTTCATTCCTAATCAAGAGTAACTTCCTGTGATCTGAAGAGGGTCCATAGGTCTTCATTTTATTTGTTCAGAGGTTCTTCTGAACATTATTTTTTATTTATAGTAGCTAGTACGCAGAGGCTTTGGCAGGGCGAGATCTCTTTGGGCTAGGGAGTGTAGCACTTAGCTTGGAAAACACTTGAAGCTATAAGGTGGCATTATTGTACTCTTCAGTCAAGTGACATGAAAGGCTATCCTCAAATAACATTTTCTTGCTCTAGAATAAATGCACAATAATTTATTCTTTAGCAGTTTTTCAGTTTTACAGAATGCTTTGCAATCGTTCTTATTGATGAGTATAAGCCCCCTAGAGTTGGTGAGATAGGCAGCATAGAAGACTAATAATAAAATTCATAAGCATCTGTTGACTGAAGAAATCAATTCAACAGTGTTTAATTTGGATTGGGAAATTCCAGGTTGCCAGTTGGCATTTTAGCTGACGATTTATGTTGGCCTAATTTATCTTGTGTGATTGCTATGAGGGTAAAATGGGAACAACAGAATGCAGGATACAAATGAAATAAAAGAAATAATGAGATTTTGTCTTTGGGATTTGCAGATTGCTATTTTCAGAGCTTGTCTTCTAGCATTGTTGAGAAGTTGGCAAGTGTTATCTATTAATTTACTAATAGAAAATTTTATTGATTTTAATTCAATTATTTCTATTCTACTCTTAGTTTTCCTTAGGGTAGTTGTAAATAGACATTCTTAATGGAGTTAGCACTGGGCGTACTCATTTAAGGTATCATTGTGTAGGGCTATCTCCTTCCCTACTTTATGTATACTGCCTCTATTTCCTTGTTTTCAAAGTTTTACAGTTGTCAATTTTTCTGAGCATGACAATATTATGCCAAATGAACCCCATCTGTTTTAATGTAATGAATGTAATATAAAGGCTTATTTTCCAAGCAAGCAATTTGTTTGGATTCATAACTTTACTGGTTTGGTAGTAGATAATACTGACCAAAAATGACATTTATAGTAATATTCTTTGTAATTCCTTTCAACTTTTATATGGAAAGGCAGAAAACATTTGAAAATAAAACACTGGAATGTATAGAGTCTTAAGTGAACAGTGATATGATTCTAAGTTATAGATTAACAGTGTTATTGTAATTACTTTATATTTCATAGTTGATTTTGTCTCAAATTTTTTCTTCAGATAACTTGTATATTAATACAAGAAAGTGACATATTTACTCGAGTTTTTATTACTTCCTAAACATTAACAATCCTACGTGGGTCTACTGAGAATTGTTACAGTGAAAACAAACCAGACATTGCTTTCAACATTTTAATAGAACAATTCTGAGAATGCTGAGTTAGTTTATACTAAGCCAAACACACCAATCAAAACACATTGTGACTTAATTTGGATGTGTGAACTCAGCAATGAGCTGAACATGGAGCCTTAAAAATATTAATGGGCATCCATTGGGGAATACATATGATGACATGCTCGTGATGTGATCATGCAAATGCTGTAACTTATCTTCTTGCAATAAATGTGATGCAAATATGTAATTGTATAATTTTAACGCCAGGATAGTAGTTTGGGTACCACTGAATTTCAATGTCCTGCCAGATATATGCACTTGGTTGGTAGACTAGCTTCAACGTAGTGCCCGGTTTTTCAAGAATTTTCTTCTGGCTATCGAGATATAAACTATACTTCAATATGCTGTAGTTAAGAAGCCATAAGGGTTTTTCCAATACTGTGTCTCCTGTGGGGGTGGGTGGCAGGGAGAGCTGAAATGGCTAACAAGCTTGTAGGAAGAAACTGACTGAAGAGAAAGAGGAAGAATTACTAGCAGACAAGATGGATTTAAGCTGTCTTGGACTGCTGAAGAAAAGCTTGTTCCAGGAGGATTCAGGACCACCTTGGATCAGTATAGAAATTGCTAATCAAAGAGGGTGATGATGCAACATAGAATCTGGTTGTTCTGTATTCAGGAAAAATGGTGGAATAAAAGGCACAAGAAACAGGATCCGGGTTTTGCTTACCATGTGAGCTAATATATCACGCCTCTGATAAATTTTCGGGGGAATGTAATGTCCTTAGTTTAAGGAAGGCTCACTAATATTTTAGTAGAAGCAGTATTATTGCTAGCGGAGTAATTTTTAACTTCCAATTAAAGAGCAACTGGGTCATAAAATAAATATTATACAAAATCCTTTGAAGCCAGATGCCAGGAAGGAAGGGAAAAGAAATATATTTTCATCCTTGTTATGCTAAAAATGTAAAAAAAAAGGTTCACAAGAAAAACACTTTGTGTTATATTTTGTATGATCAATCCTGACATTCCTGTATGAAATTGTTGCATTCTTGATATAAATCCTTCCAATTACATATGCATTTAGGATTGCCAGAGAAAATTCCAGGGGTAGATAAAAACAACCATCAATTCAAAATATGTTATTTGATGTACAATGAATGTTTTGGTTAATAGCTGTATCTGGAAATGGAATTTTTGCTCAGATCTTCAGCAACCACTGTAGTAATTGACACATTTCTTTTTGAAAAAAGAATGACAATTCAAGTGATGTAATTGATGTTTTAGTTTATTTTTGACTTGAGTTTACAGAGCTGTGCAGCCACAAAAACTCTGAGGAAAATGATTATTTAAAAAATAAAACAATTTAAAATAATCCATATGTTAAGTCAGTTTTTCCAAACACTAATCACCTCGGCTACACAACATTCTGAACCATACAACAGCCAGACACTTTTTAGTCTACTATGCTGTATGAACCAAGGCTAGTACATTGTAAGTTGAATAGTTTAAGGGTTAATTTACATTTTTTCCATATGTTAATTTCATTTGCTTAATGTTCTGTAAGGTAATTCATCTGGAATAAATACTAGACATCATAAAGTCCTCATTTCACCTATCAGCATGCATTAAATTTTCAATGTGCTTTCATTCCTTATCCTTATCTATCCTGTGAGTACAATTTAAGTTACAAAGCTCTGTTAACAAAATGAAAAAGAACAATCCTCTGGGAAAGCTGATAAAAGTTTCATAGAATTAGGAGATACTGAAAAATCAAGATTATCTACTTGGTGTCAGCCATCAGACCTCCAGTGAACATTCCATTTCATGAGACAACTTATTAGAATATACAGGAACTTCCTGCCCAATTCCTAATCTGAATTTACTTTCCTCTTATTTCAACCCATGGTTCTGGTTCTGCACTCTGGGACAAGTCCATCCCCTCCTCTATACATCAATTTCTCCCCTCAGTTTTTTCTGCAGACTAAGTATACTGATTTCCTTTAATGGTTTCTCACAGGACTTGGTTACTACTAAGAAATTTAGAATGTAGGAAGAACTACTTAGCCAATGAAAAGTTCAGATAGCTTCCTGCAATGTTTCAGCTACAGCCTCTCCAATCCACTATCTTGCCTATATTAACGGGCTGATGGGTGTTGTAGTCCCAATTATTTGTTATTAGGTTAGGGAAGACTGGCTTAAGTTGCTTCTGTGATCATCTTCAAAACTTTTATTTATAATGTGTAAGGTAGCTATTTATTTAAAAATGTATAAAGCAGGGGTCCCCAATCCCCAGTCTGTGGACTGGCATTGGTCTGCAGCAAGGCAGAAACCAGTCTGTGCAAACAAGTGAAGCCCCATCGGTGGGATGCAGGCAGCACGCAAAACCACACTCCTTCCGTTCCATGGAAAAAAAACTCTCCACAGAACTGGTCCCTGGTGCCCAAAAGGTTGGGGGCCACTGGCATAAAGCACTTTGCACAAAAGTCAGCACAGAAAGCATATGCAATACAATATCAAAGCAACAAACATTAATATAATTGAGAGGCACATTTAATCAGTTACAAAAAATGATTTCAAGTTAAGATGGCTGGAGAAATAAAACATGTTAAGAATACCATGTTAATGTCAACTGTACATTCACAGTGCACTGCAGAAAAGATGCTATCATAGAAAAGGCACTCCCTGTTGTGGATGTGTGATGTATCTTTTTAGGTTTGAAAGTGGAAGGTCTCATTTGAAGATAATGCACAAGTAGGAGAAATCTCTCCTTCAGATGTTTGAAACTTTGACTGGTCTTGCTAGCAAATTGACAGCTGTTATAATTGGCTTCAATGACTATCTTGCCATTTCAGATGACAGTCTAACTGCCAAATTATGTACAACTGACAGCATATGACACTCTGGTAAAGGGAGGTAGATAAATATTGTGGGCTACAGCCATCTGAGATGATATTTTTGATCACGCAGTGCAATATTCCATTAATCCCTTCTGAGTTTGTGCATTTCCAAAATCTGTTCTAGATACTCTCTGATATCCAAAGCATATTTCGATTATCTATCTATCTATCTATCTATCTATCTATCTATCTATCTATCATCTATCTATTTCTTTGTACAGCTATCCATCTCACACAATTACTCTGGGTGGCATACATATTCATAACATTATATAAAAACTATTAAAATCATCAATTTAAAAATTAGAATAAAAACAGGTAATAAAATTTGGTGGCTATATGGGAAGATACATGAAGAGAAGGAAAATCCATTTCATTACTAACATCCATTCAATTTTGGAAGGATAGAACTAGATACTTTGTATAACAATAGCAGCACATTGAAAAGTCACAATTTTTTGCTTCTTCTTACAGAAGCAGAAATTTACTTATTTGTTCTATGGCTTTGGCAGCCCCTTTTTTACAAGGGTTGTCAGCTTTATTTTGAAATAAATAACAGAATAACAGGTCCTTGAATGTCTTCTAATTCATCCCCCTGCTCTGGCAGGAATATTGGCTTGTTATGCACTTGCTTTGCCTAGACTGTTCCAGTTCTCATATACGTTCGGAAAAGAATAACAATTAAATGAATTGTGCTATTTTCAGAGAAATGGAAACAGGAACTGGAAGATGGAAGAAAGCATTTACCTAAACAAGTAGCCTCTTAAAGTAAAAAGAGGACCAAGCTTTGCTCTTTTATCTTCAAAAAGAAGATTTTATAAGTTACTTTGGATTTAGCTCAGACATGAGATACTTTTTCCTCACAAGTTTTCACAATTCCCTTTTATTTATGGCAAGCCATACTTATGGACAACTTTGCCAAGTGCCATGGAGACATTACATGCCCCCACTTTCAGCAAATTTAGGCAACACTTCTTTTTCTATCATTTGCCATCAGAATGTCGAGAGGGGACTTATAACCTTCACCTGGCACAACTTCACTTGGGTTTTCTACTACATCTCATGATGCTTTTAAGATACTGCTTCCCATACCCAGTTTGGAGGAACTGTTCAAAACTATTTTTCTGCCGTTATCTGCTCATGTCAAAATCAAATGGGAACTAAAATAACCAATAGGGAAATCTAAGAATGTTCTGACTGCCCTGTATAGTACAGGCTCGAAAAAGAAGATCAGGAAAACAATATGGTAGACACTGGAAGATGACTGGTGGGCAGATTGGAAGATAGATGCTGTAATATCAATTCCGCTTCTTGTTATGTAATGTGGTTTCTACCTCCAGGTACTGTAGCCCAATCAGCATCCCCAGGATGGAGAAACCTGAAAGATGGAAATTGAGCAAGAACAGAGAACAAAAATATTTAAAAATCGCATATCTTTAAAAAAAGGCGATAGCATTTGGCTGTGGAAAACTCCAGGTTCAGTTTCCAGTATGACTCTGAAGAAATAATTATCATTCCACCTAAGTAGCCTCACAGAGGAAAAGTGAAAAAAACACCCTGGAAATAAACACAATTCTAGGAACAGAAAACGATAAGCAGCTTAGTAAGTACTTACTTGCCACCATTAAGGGTGCCAGGACACCAATCGTTGCAGCTGCTGTGCCATAAATAAACACCTCAGAGAGGAAGTGGCCCAGGGCAATGAAGAAGGTCAAAAGTGTGATGTTATAGAGGCTGTCAGAGAGTCCACAAAGAAAGGATTATTGTGTGGTATAGAGATGACACAAAGAGATCAGAGGAAGTTGAGAATCTGAAACCAAGTGAGTATGCTGTACCTTTGCATCTTTAGTCAGGCATTGGTGTCTGCATCTTTTGAAAACTAGAGAGAGTACTGTACCTTCTGTTGCTCAAAGGTTACTTCTAGCATATTCAATTAGTGTTCCTACCATCCATAAACACCAGACACCAGTCTCGAGACAGATTAATAGGTTCAGCATAGCCTGAATTGAAGAGTACTAAAAACATTAATTGTTTAGAATTGCTTGGATCAAAGCAGAATAGATTTTAAAACCTGACATTTTGGCAGATAAAATTGCAGAGCGAGTATTATATCTTGTTTCTCTTTACTTCTAGAAACAAAGTTTGTGCCTTAATACAGAGTGCCAGACTTATTGTTTTCCTATTGCTGTACCCAACTAAATAATAAACATACAACACTCTAGATGTACATCCTTTCAGAAAATATTACAAATGGTGGAAAATATGAAAATGTAAACCATATGTGGTATAGAACTTTCAGTAGAAGAATAATACTAACAGAAGAGGGAGATTATTCCTTATTGTATTAGGTACCAGAACTTTAACTTTCAGAGGTCTAACTAGACAGAAACTAGGGACTAATATTATTCTTATATAAGTAGTCTACTAAGCACTTCCTTCTTTATGCCTATTTTACTCTTCATAGATACAAGCCCTTTGAGATAGTATTTCCCAAATGTATAAAGAAATTGAAAAAAATTCTGGATGAATATGATTGTAAGGGAAAGGAGTTTATTAAAGAGGGTTGGTAATGAATTGTTCTTTTTACTATTTATTTTAGTATTCATTTTACTTACGTCTTGTTGCGGATATCTATGGCACAATAGCAGCGGATCACAGAAGACAACAAGGTCCAAATGCCAAAGGTTCGAGCTTGGAGACCATTTACTGAATAGAAAAAATAGATATGTTACAGCAATTTATTTATATATGTTTCCAAACAGAACTTAGCAGTATATTCAACAGCCTAAGATATATAATGGCCTTGAAAATTATTCTAAGGATCAAGGGTTTTCAGTCCTGAAGCTCAGTAGAGAAACGTCTGATATGGAAAATAAATTACACTGTACCTGAAGCATTTGTTATAGCCTGACTCTTCTAGGTGGGCACTAAACAAACTAAACTGATGCAGTAAACTTCAGGATAAAAGAAGAACAAACAATATTTAAAGCAAAAAGACATTTCAAAATTGGCAACGTTTTAACACCTGAATAAACATTTCTTTGCAATATAGGCAAAATACAGATCCCATTTTTAGATTCCAAAAATGACATTTTATTAATCTTACCAAGACCTGGCTTGCCTGTATACAATTTCTCAGAAAGGAAGCTGTGGTCTCTGAAGCTTTGCACTGTGTTCCCCAAAGCAATTATGGACACCATAACTAGCCAACTACGAAGTACATTCAAGAACCGACTCATCTTAGAAGTAGCAAGACCCAATCTGTCTTATGAACAAACAAAGAATCAAGAGTTTAAAACATTTATTCTATTTTAGACTTTGTAATCATGCTTGCTATGCATGCTTTGCAGTACTTCCTCTTAAGTTGTATATAGTTTTGTGAAATAATTAGATCAGGCCATTTTGCTGGCCTGCAAATGACAAGAACAGAGCCTTCCCATATTCCAGATAAGAAACTAAAATGGAAAATTATTTTAAACGTTGCAATAGTGTTTTTTCAGTGTGGTTGAAGCACAAAGGAAGGAGGAAAATCTGTTGCAAATGTAGTGTCTTTCAAAAACAAATCAAATTCAGAAAAATACAAAGACAAATTGCCAGTAAATCCATATAGCAGGCTTCCTTCCTTCTAGTCTTTCCAGCTAAAGCTTCTAGAATTTCCAAGCAGCACCTTATTGGCTAATATTTCTAGGAGTTACAGTTCTATTGGACCTAAAAAACACCAGATGATTAAAAACTAGCTGATCAGGGTTAAACTGAACCAATAATCTTGCATTCAATTAACTCCCATAATCTTTATGTGGAAAAGACAGCCAGTTGCTAGAAAAAGAACAATTCTTTTAACAACTGTTCTGTCTAAATAACTCAACAAGGACAGGTAGCTTGATTCACTGTTCCCTTTCTACTTTCCCCTTATATAAAAGCTTTCTCCTTTTAGGATTTTATTCTGTTTATGAATTAACCCAGGTACAGTATATATAACCACTGCCAGAGCTGAAGGCGTATATTCTGCTTCCTTCTATCCAACCAGTGAAATGATACCACAAGGAAGCTGCCTGTCCCTTGGAACAGAGATCAACCTCTTGGCATCCATAAGTCAGAAGAAAAAACATCCTAAGATGCTTCCTTGGCATTTTTCTCCTGATAAATGCTTTGAGCAGAGAGAGGAAGGAAAGACATTCTGGCCTGATCTTTTGGTCAGGAAATTATCAGACTTATGGCTCTTTACCACGTTTTAAGCCTTGAGTAAACTGTTTCTTCTCTCCCTTTGTAATTTTCGATGGCAGATTAAATGGTGGGCCTGGTTCCCGTTTTATTTAGGAAGGATTGCAAAATGGAAAGAAGTGGTGACACCTGCATAAAATTTTAGGAATGTTCTCCGAACGTCTTCTTGCTCCCTTCGATTCTTGCCCTGCAAGCCATCTTGCCCTACACCTAATTCCTACCGTGCACGTCGCCCCCTTGGTTATTCCCCATGCAACCCCCACCAACGCCATTGAGATCTTACTTCTCACCCCCACTTGATTGGCAGGCGTACCAGATTCGCTGCTCACCTCCAACTAAAGGAGCACGCACGAGCCCCGCCCCTTCCTTAGTTTGAGCGATGATTGGTCCACGGTCAGACGTCGCCTTTTCCTGGTTGGTCTCCGCGACCCTCTCTAAACCGTCACATGGATGGGAAGGCAGCTGTACCTATCAAATGCGCTGAGCCCTTCTGAGGCATTATGACGTAGAATTCGAAGGTGTGGGTGGAAGAACTCAGAACATCCTTTTCGCTTCCCTTTTTTTAAAAAGAGAATTTTGATGACGCCGTTTTAGAAGAGGAGGCAGAAGAGGACCGGAAACTCGCGCATGCGTGTGGAGAAGGGCACCGGCGGGAGCCGAGGAATTGGCGCTTGCGCAAATGTGTCTCCTGTAAAAAGAGGGAGACGGTTGCCTGTTGGTTGTTGTAGTAACAGGGGAAGCGCTTGAGCCGAGGAATCGCGACTGCCGGGCCCCTAAGAGGATGAAGCAGCAGGTAATGGCCGTGAGCGGAGTTTGGGAACAGGGCGCCTTCCATGCTGCATGCATAGAACTTGCTCGGACGAGAAGTTGAGCCTCGCAGATGGAAGGCAGCGTTTGTAGAGATGTGACCGGCATCCAACGGGACGGAGGCAGCTGGCGTGAAATTCGCGGACCGACCGCAAAGTTCGCGGAATTCAGGCAGTGCTTCCCAGGTGCTCCCTCTTTGGGGATGAAACCAGGTTCCGGAGCTTTCCGGCATATTTTCTCATCCCTTCCTCCCCATGACCAGGAATGCGATGCCCACGAAAAGGGGACAAGCGAGCCCTCCGGCAAAGATTGCCGCCTCTTCCCCGCTCAGGGGCAGTGCCATCTTCTGCCGGGGGCCCAGCCAAATCTTTCCAAATCTTTCGTTTCTGGGTCAGAATTCCGCCAGGAAAAGTTTTCATTGCGAATCGACTTTTAGCGCCCTGGGACTTGAACGAGAGAAGTGTTGCAAGTGGCTGTTGAACCCTCAGGAAAAGCTTCCCCGGGAGCCACAGAAAGGGGCAGGCAGTGTTTAAGACAAGGTAGCTGAGTGTCATTTTGATCCTGGGAGTTTTGAGGTAGGGAGGAAGGACCTGTTTATTGCACAGAAGATTGACCGAGCCCAGCAAAGGTTTTTAAGATTCCTCAGCAATAACTGGGAGACTTATGTTTACATAATCTTAATTTCATGCAGTGGGTGGCGTGTATTCTTTCCATCTATATGGTGTGTATTTTGTTATATTACGGCTGGATTAAATATATGACTCAGATTTGTTAAGAGGATGGCAAGCTTAAGATGTGATTCAGTGCCAAATATAAAGCCGGACTGTTGTAACCTTGTGCAGCAAGAAAACGGATGGGAAGAGAGCGTGGAATCTTTTCTCCATCTTTTTTTCTGCTGCTTCTCCCATTTTGATTTCCTTTCACCGATTTTGCTCCTAACAAAGATCTCAGAAGAACAGTTGCCAAAAGGAAGCTCAACTGCTCTTCACTCCTTCCTTACACCATTTCTGATCAAATTATTACAATAATTGAATTGGGGTTGTTAACGGCCCTGCCAGCCAAGGAATATCATCTGGCTGGGATTAGGAGACATGCTGTAACCCTTACGCTCTGGAGCAATCCCCTTTCAAAGATTAGGATCACCCTAACCTTGCTGGTCCTTTGTGAGGCCTTGAAGGTCTGGCTGTATGCCCTGACCGGGATCTGAGTGTCTTAAGGGCCCCTTTTCTTGGCTGAATTAACAGCTATGGCAATAGTTTTATTCAGTGATTATATATAATTATTTTATGTTTTTATTATACGTGCCACTTGGAATCACTTGTTGAGATAGGTGGCTACAGAATTCAAATAAATGGGTTTTTTAAAAAACTTATCCTGAATTGTTTTTACAAATAGCTTAAGGTTGTGAGTATATCCAAGATACCTTCCTCCTCCTATTTTCCCCACAACAACAAACCTATGAGGTGGGTTGGGCTGAGAGAGAGTGACTGGCCCAAAGTCATCCAACCAATACAGCAATTGAATTAAAAATTAAAATAAAGTGCCTGGAAACTGTATGTGGCTTTCTACTAAGAAGCTTGATTATTGTATATTTCCAATTTGCTCTGATAATTGAATTTTCATTTTCTTCATAGAATATAGTACTGGTTAGATTTTCTGATTCTACAGTGAAAATATTAAGGGTTCGTTGTTTCTGGGCTGTGTGAAAACATACACAGGATATGCCAGTTGGAATGGCTCGGGATTTGGAAGAATCGGATTCATCTTCTGAGGAAGAGGAAGAAATGGAAGGGCCAGAGTAAGTTAAAACTTATAATTGTATATTGTGTCAGAGTTACTATGGAAATTTAAGTCTAACCTTCTTTAAAAATGAACATGAAAGCTTGAAATTATAAGTGTGAATGTTCAGTTTGTAGCTTCATGTCTGCTACACATTTATCCTTATTCTGCTGTGGGCATTCAGCCAGAATTAGTGAGAATTAACTTCATCCTTAGGATGAGAGCTGTCACATAGGGCATGCTCCTAGTTACCCTAGGTAACCAGATGCCTTTATTGGTCTTAAAGTAAACACTCTGCATGTAGTTTTAAGTACTTTCGATTAAACATGTATGCAGGTTCCAAATCTCTGGAAAATTGATAAATGCACGCTTTTCCTTGCAAACTTTAGCAATCTGAAGACTATAGAGGAACTAGACACATTTAAGTTTTTAAGGGAAATATTTAAATGCACATTATTCTCACTATACTTTTATCACTTGTATGTGCAGCCTACTTTTTCTTGTAATTCTGGAAGTAAGTAGGTGGGTTACAAGGGAACATGAATGTGACTATTGTGTAAATATATGAAGCTGCTTTGATCACGTTACCGGTTATAGGTCAGAACTTAGATTTTTCATGATCTCAAGCCAGTATCTTTCATATCTGCTTGATCCTTTAGCTGGGAATTTGGCCTTGTGCCTTTTTTAAACATGCATTTTTGTTGTTTGAATTGTGGTCTGTGGTGAAAAGTTGTCCTTTCCTATCACTGAGGGTTATTTTTTAGCTTACTTTGATATTAAGTCTTTATTTGCACGAGTCTGCTTCTTGTTCCTCTGCAGGAAACTATGTTTATAAACATAGTTTTACTAATATGGCTTGGTTTAGTAGACTTTTTTTCATCCATTCTCTCCCACCCATTAATTTCTCTTGCCATAGAAAATTGGCAGAATGTCCTTCACTTATACTGTAGTTTGATCAAGATAGGAAACAGTCTACCAACTTTTACAATTTTATATTCAAACTGGCACACAAATGGGATAATACAGATGATAGAAGAGAACTGGAAAGGGGTCTTTAGGCCATTGGGTCTAATCTATTACTCAGTACAGGAACCTAAATTAAAGCATCCCTGAGAGATGGCAGTTTTATCCTTGCTCGAATACTTTCAGTGAAGGGAGATTCCTACGTTTTTGGATAACTACTTTTACCTTTGAACTATCTATTACAAAGCTCTTGATCTTCTGAATTACATAATTCAAGTATTTAAAATATACACTTTCACAGTCCTGTTTTCTCATGGTTAATCTATCTTCAGTTTTTCTTCTCTTTACTTTCTAGTAAAAAATCCTGGTGGCATTTCTCTAAATTTGATCTGGTCCTTAACATATAATGTCTAGACCTGGTTACTATACTTGAAAAGTGGTCTCTAGCTAACACAGAATAAAATGAATTATTTTTTTCCTGCAGTTTAGAAACAGAACTAATCTTGATGAAGCCTAAAATTGCATTTGCCTTGTTTGCAACTACATAATATCAAAACAGCAAATCCCATTATAAAAATATATTATTAAATACTTTGAAGGCATTTATAATTTTAAAAAGTTACAATGCACTACTAGAGATTATTACATGGCACTTGGAAATAAAAACATTCTATTTTCAAAACCTTAAAGGCTATGGTATTCTTCTGCATCCCATTGGGAAGTGGGCAAACCATTTGCTAATCAGAGTGTCATGGGATACTTGTCAAATGTTTTGTTGAACTCAAGATACATTCCATCTTGGCATTCTTACATTCTAAGGAAAAATTTCCAAGTAAAAAAATAAGGTAATGCTTGTCTCGCAAGACCATAACCTGTCAAATCCACAATTTCTGGTGATTTTTGCATTTGTTTTAAAAGTGTTATAGATAATTTGCTTTTAGGTTTGTTACTAATTGATATTTCCCTGGATCTTCTTTATTCTTCTTTTAAATATAAAGACAACAGTTTTTCCCCTCCAGTTGTTTGATACAATGTTATGTTGAATTTTTAAAAATAATGCATAAAACTTAGCAAAACCTTCAGCAAATTTCTTTTGTATCCTTGGATAAAATTCAGCTAGCTTTATAAATTTAAACATATTTAGAGAAGAATTCCCTGACTATATTTCTGTTAGTCTAAAGCTTCAGTCCTACTGATTCATCCTGCTCTTCAAACTTGCCTAGTGGTCCCATATCCTCTTGTTGGAAAAAACTGAGCTAAAATTAGAGTAAAGTAATTCTGTCTTTTCTTGCTTTACCTTTTAACATTTTCCATCTTTATTGGGAATAGCTGTATTTGTTTTTCCTGCTTGTTATTTTGAACATATATCCAAAGGGGTGTTCTCTTTGTTATTCTTTTTATTATTGATATCAGCCTCCTTTCAAAACTTCAATTCTTTTTTGAGTTTTACCTTTTCTGATAACCATATCTATAGCTGAGACGTATATGCATTCTGCCTTGATAACTTGATCCTCTTTTTATTGCTGATGTGTGACTCTTTCAAATCTTTGCTAAGCTTTATATATAATTCTCTTGACTTCTTTTACTGTCTTCCAATTACTTTCTGCAATGAAATTGTTAGCAATCTTTCACCTGAATTTCCTGGGAAACTCACATGAATTAATAAACATAGGTTGATGGATATTGTTGCTTATTTAGAAACTTTATGATGTATGATATTTCAGAGTCACTTTGGATAGTAAGATGGGTGGTATAAACTTACATAATAATACAAAAAAAATTTAAAATTTTGTGGAGAAGATGCAACTAGAGTATGACACTCATCCAAATCAAGAAAAGAGTAAATGAGAACATATCTTTAGTCTGTTTATTTACAGGCTGTGTATTAACCTAAGTTTAAAGCCTGCTGTTTGTAGAATTTTTCTCTTCCATGTTAGCAGATAGACATTCTCTGTCCTTCATATACACATACTATAGTACTTCTTTCTATGATCCCATTTCATCTGAAGTTGGTATTCTGACTCAGTTTATTTACAGTTTATTGTTGTGATATTGTTTTTTGAGCCTGAGATGAATATAATTTAGGCTCCAGATTTGTGGTATTTATTTAATATTTAGTTTAATACTTTTTTTCAGCTGGTCTGGGTTCTATACATATTTTTGCATAAAGAGAAACTATGATTGCACATGTATTGTTAGGGTGGGTCAAATTTTTCAACTTTCAATTTCCAAACATTAAGGGTGCTCAAAAGTTGTGACATTCCTTGGGGATTGTAAAGATATTTTGGTTACTTCAATATAATTTAGATGTGCTTAGTAAATAACTACATAAATATCATAACTTTTTAAGATGTTTTTTTGTTTCATTATTGTCCTAAATCATGCATTGCTTTGAGGGAGGATTGTTCCTATCTCTTTAGTATCTTATTGACTTTCCTACTAATGATATAACAGTGGAAGATGCTAGATAATAATTTCTTCCATATTTGTGCAAATTTGAATTCAGGTATGTTCATATAACATAGGAAGTGTTTAATAGCTTATAAGATAGAACTTGGCTGAGCTCACTTCTGCCTGTCTTTCTGGGCAGACTGTGAATCTTCAACAGGCAATCCACCAACCTCCCAGATTTGCTTTTATAGTGTGGGAAGATAAGAGGAGAAAGAATCTAATTCTCTGGAGGTAGCAGTTTTAGTTAATGTAGTGGTACATGACTTACAACACCCCTGCCAAATTCACCAGAAACTCCCAAAGGACACGGTTGAATTATAATTTTCAGTTTTTAATATTAAGAGAAAAAGTGTTAAGTACATGTGGAAAGTTTTGTGTGTGTGTGTGTGTGTGTGTGTGTGTATATATATATATGGATCTTTGTTTGTTCGGGTTTTCTCCCGCGTAAGATTCAAAGTGTCTAGGCAACGTTTCGATGAAGTCTCATTCATCATCATCAGGCCTCTGTCTTTGGCTCTTGCTTTTCAGAGTGATGTGAGGTTGCAGCTGCTTTTCTAGGACACACCATTCTCCTGCCTTTCTTCCCCTGCAGCCGGGACCCGACTAAGCCACCTTCTGTGCGAGTCACTCTCCTGGGTCCTTGGCGCTCCGTCGCTTCCTTCTGCGATCTGGAATCCACGCGGAGCCCGACCGCTCGCTCTGCTTTCCTCCCCGCGCCGCTTTCGGAGGGGAACGCCGCAGCTTTTTGACTCGCGCAGAAGGTGGCTTAGTCGGGTCCCGGCTGCAGGGGAAGAAAGGCAGGAGAATGGTGTGTCCTAGAAAAGCAGCTGCAACCTCACATCACTCTGAAAAGCAAGAGCCAAAGACAGAGGCCTGATGATGATGAATGAGACTTC